TTAATTACTAACGAGTATATACTTTCGTTCGTTTTAATATTCGTGACATAAAACTACTCTGATGCGTGTCATACTTTGAAAATTATAATTAAAATAATAGTCGGTTCGTTAATCATTGCAATGAGATTTATTATGAATCAACTTTTTATTATTCTATATAAAGTTTTAATATAATCATAATAATTATTTCTTTTAATTAATTTAGCAGATTTTGCATTATATTAGCATTGCGATATAATAATTTTAATTTATATTTTTTTGTATGTCATTAAATAATAAGTTTTTATTTATTGTCACAATTCAGAATCATATTTATAGAGTAATAATAATGAAATACGAATATTATAAATAATTCTTGTAAAACAACACCAAATAGAACTTTTCATTAAATTAGATTAAAATAATTAGAAAAAAATTGGGCCTCTAAATACATTTATCAACGCTAATGGATAAAAGGTTAAATATGTTGAATAAAATTATTCTTCATTATAAAAAGTATGTTTATTTTTTGCAGGTGAAGTGATTGCGTATTTCATACATGAGATTTTTGCATTACAATAATTTCACAGTACCTAAGTTTATTTATATGCGCGCGCTCGCATTTATGTATATGTGTAAGTGCATGGGCATATTATATGCGCATATGCGTGTGTGCGTGAGTGCCAATATGTGTATATTCAGGCAACATAACTCGTTTTGTTATTTAATATAATTTAAAATTTTCCAATACAAATATTGTAGCTTAAAATTAGATTGCGTTCGTGTAAATTTTCGTACAATAAGGACGGACTTTTATCTTATTTTTAATAACTATTGAGAATTTAGAAATGGCGAGATATCTGCAAAAGTAAAAGTACCACGTATCAAGAACTTTCACTTGTATCAAAGTATTTTTGAATAGCATAATTTTCCTTCTAAACTATTAATTAATAATACCGATTCGATAACATTCGTTCCACTCTCAATATGAATGTTGATGATGTTATGTAAGGAAATATTGTAAATTTCGAACATTGCCAAGAATTTTTTTTTTTTTTTGCATAGTATTCAATAAATCAATACAGTGCGTATAAAATGTTATCAGTTCTCTAATGATTTGCAATGTTGTCGGTAAATTTAATGATATTTTACGGCTCTAATTGCTATATTATGGAACAATTATCTCAATGCATGAAAATCTTTCATAAGTTATCACAAATTACTCTTTCGATAAACTTAACAATAACTGTCAATTTATTCTTGTATATTTTAAAATTCTTTTTTCCGTTAAATGTGCGAGAGTTTTCCGCATGTTATTCCATCGTGTTAGTGTGTATTGTATAATTGGGGTGTGCGTGCGCGCGTTTAGCTACCAACGTGTATATACAAACATGTTATTCACTTTCCTTATGCAATATTACAGTATTACCGATTTCAAATAACAATGATCGAACGTAAATATTGCTTCGAACAACTAATTTTACCCTTTTTATAATGTATGAATTATGGAATGGTAGAACAGAAACGCCATATTTATATACAATTAAAATAACGTTAAATGAACTATCTAATAACGTTGAAACGATTGATTTCGACATATGTTTTCAATTTTTATTGTTATTGTTGAAGACTACTGTTTGCCTAAAATACTTATCAACTCGACTTAATCAGAGAAAACATTTTTAATTTTTATTTTGTACTTTAACATTAAGGCTTACTAATATGTAATTTAATCGAATATGCAATACTAACTTTCACAAAAGCTGCCGTAGTGACAGGATATCGATAAAAATAATTTCTATGAAACCCACATCCCATGCGTATCTGTAGCTGTAACAATGTATCGTCATTATACAAAATTTCAAGCGAATACAGCCAGATTTTACAGTGAGCAATAATCAAAAGCTCAATTCTGCCTTCCAACGATTGTAAACGTACATTATTACATTGTTAAAGAATTTACCTTTTATTTATTAAATGAAAGGGCTTTTTCTTTTTTTAAACTACTAGTTATAAATCCACAACCATGTTAATACGGCAGATCGTATAATTTAGAAGGTTAGTATTTCACATCCCTGTTGGAAAGAAAAAATAATAAATACGAGAAAGGTTTTTATTCAGTATGGAAAAATCACTACTTAAAGTATTCATGTAGTATAAAAAGAAAAAAAAAATAACAAAACAAATGAATAAATAAAAAGAAAAAAAGAAAAAGGACTGTTTGCGTCGTTCGTAGAAATTAAAAATGATTTCTGAAAACAAATTGGAAAAAAAAATCTGACTTTGTTCTTGCTTTCCTTTTCTCTCTCTCTCTCCATTTTTTTTATTTTTATTTTTTTTGTTGCCAATATAAGTACCTACGTACTGGATAATTTTCAAAAAAAAAAAAAAAAAAAACTTTACTGTCAGATAAAGTAGAAGTTTTGTAAACAAGACCCATAGCAAAATTCAAGTTTTTATCGCCACGAGATTTTACAATGAGATTCAGTTTGAATGAAATACAAAGTACCGTATCAAATCGAATCAAATATTGATTTTCTTAAGAGCTTATTATTAGCTCGATTGATTTTTCACTTTTTTTTAGGCTCAATGATAATAAGTTAATCGTGTTGTCATATAAAGAAAGATCGAGTATCACTGTATTTTCTTAATAAAGTATTATGCGATTCATAATTTAAAAAGTGTAAACTCTCTAAAGGAATTGTCGTTGCGATAATGTGCAAAAATGAGTAAAACAATGTCTTATTGATTAGCCAAAGTATATAATGATCCTGAAATACATAGAGACAAGTGGACATTTATTATTTGGACTTTTGTTACTTCATATAGAAGTATAGAAAATTGGATAAAATATGTCGAATTTATTTAGGGTAAACGAACATTAAGTTATTAAATTATCGACAGTTGAAAAATTATGAACAAAAAAAATATATGAATTTTTAATACGAATATTTTATTCAAAGTACGATAATACAAGAATAGCTAACCCAGAAGCCTGATGAATTCGAGCATGGAGTGGTTTTGTGCTATATTATATTTAATCCTTTTGTTTTGTTTTTGTTTTGTTTTTTGTTTTGTTTTTTTTTTTTTTTTTTTTGTTGTTTTTTGTTTGTTACGCTGCCAATGGAATTTTAATCAAGAACATTTTATATAATCGTTACTGCATCCTACGAGTTATAGGGGCAAAAAATATACGATGTTATAAGGAGGAATTATGCCTATTAACGATAGAATGGAAGCTTAAGCTTCGATTAATCGAAATATTGTATAAATTAAAAATGCATTTGCCATTCGTTGTATAATATTATAGTGGTGTCATCGATACATTGATAAAGTTGTATACATCTTTTTACAATTGTTCTGACAGTGGGTATATGTATATATATATATATATATATATATATATATATATATATATATATTTTTTTTTAAATAATTAACTAGGCACTCTATTTTAAAAAGGTATGGGGCCACCAATTGTAGCTGTGATCATTTGACTATCCGCAGTTGGTAAATATTTTTTTAATATTAGCCAGAGTGCTTTTACATTTGTATGAGAAAGAGCGACGAGTTTTCTCAGGACGAAACCACTCCAAGACATGTCACTCGATGAAAAATCCAAATACATGAGCAAAATATAAATATTCTAGAAGCTTCTTCTTGCAGTGCCCTTAGCACATTTATCCTTCGGAGTATAAAAATATTGGCGTACCAGTAAAATTGATACTTGGAACCTTACACTCCGAAGCGCCATTTTTTTTGCATAATCCAAATTTCGCACGGAGCTTTTCTACTTAATACAAAATCTTATTGAAAATTGCGTTTGCTGTTATTGTGAAGCTTAATAATGAGCGAGTCTACGGGAAAAGCTAGTTTTAAAAAGAAAATTTTATATTACGTTAGAGAACGAGAAATGCAATTGAATAATAAATTATGGCGATGCGCTGATAAACGAAACGTACAATTGTTGATACACTTAACAGTAATGGATGACATTATTGGCAAAAGATGTAATGAAAAAAAATGGCACCCTGAGGCGAAGAAGCACGGCTTGTGTCAGTGTTCTTAACTAATAATTAAATGCAATGGCTTACTATACAGACATTCGGCATACACTTAATTGTAATATGTGTTTTATTTTTTCTTTCCATCGGTGAGCTATTATTTTACGAGAGCAAAAGCGCTTAACTCGACAATTACGTTTTCAAAGCAATCAAAAATAGAACTTTCGAAAGAATATTATTAAGCATTTCTGTAGTTATGATAATTCTCAAGTTACTTGCCTCACTGCGCCACAATACTTTTGCAGTCTTGGAAAGTTTATGAAAGAAGAGATTTATGAGCCATAAAAAAATATGCTCGTTTGCTAGATTCTAAGAGAAAAAAATGTTCCGATGTATCTTCCTTATTCGTATGCCCTTCGCAATAACGAGCAAAGTGTATAAATGTTTAATCGTCTCTCGCGTAATTAGGGACAAGAGACTCTTATTGCTTATACTGTTATTTACATTTTAAATTTTGCTTTAACTTTAATGATGAGCGCCTTTATAAACTCGGCGTTTCCCGCCTATTTGCAAATTCAAATAAAATACTTGAACGTATGATAAAAAAAAAAAAAAAAAAAAAAAAAAAAAAAAAAAAA